CACGCACCCCCCCCCTCCCCCACATTAAGGACAGATTCCCTAAATTCATCTCCTTCACACTTATCAGATACCACCTGATAAGAAATAAACCAATTTGGTATCTGAATTGATCAGTTGTATATAGCTTTAATAGATGCTGGATTCTAAAATCAGTCTAGAGTTCCAGCCAGACACAAGAAACTGATCTCTGCTCCAGTTCACAGACCTCCAAATCCTGCAGAGCAAACACACACTTCTGTATTGATTTAAGTAATGTCTGGTACCTGCAACATGTTGCTTTTCTGGATATCCTGTGCCCCAACCCCTCTCCAAGTTTATTGGTGCTTAATAAACTCAGTTAATCTTCCAAAAAAATGACTCATCCCAAGTCATTTAACCCCACAAAGTCAGATTCCACCCAGAGGCAAGACTCTAGCCCAGTGAGCCATCTGGGGATTTTTATTTTGGAGGTTTCTTTGGCACCAGTCAGACTTTAGGAAAAAACACGATACAAACCACAATAATCAGCTTGTCACGCTTCAACCCCAAACTAACTTTTTGACAGTTATAAGGCAATATACAGTAATAAAAACCTGACAGGGGATCCGAGTCCCATTAGTAAGTATTGCCATATGGAGCAAAAGTGATGAAATATTGTCACCTTAACAGAAAGAGGGGAGATCTCTTCATCAGAGCACCTGTTTTTGCAATAACCAAGTCTAAGGACACTTGGCTCACTTGAGAGATTTACTTTCACTTCCTGTTGTGTCCACAGGACAGGAAGTGAAGGGAATCTACGCGATAACATGGGGGGGAAGTTAGGGTCATCAGGTTAACATAACAGGAGGAAAAAGCCTGAAAAAAGAAAACTAATGCAGTGACCACATCTAAGGACTGGCGAGCTGCATCATATTAAACTTTGAATTCAGATATTCTTTGAAGCAGTTATAATCAGTACATGGGCCCCTTACCACCTACAACACGTTGAGGAAGAGCTACACCTAGGACTCGAAGGATAAAATGCCTCTTTATACCTTAGGATTCAGACTTCTCAAACATGAAGCCAGTGATTGGCTGTAAAACAGGACATTTTACCTCTAGCATACTTTGCCTAAAAAAATAAAAATTCCTCAATGCTGTCCCATGTCCCCCACATGGGAGATCTACCCTCTATTGTCCTAATGACCATTATCAATAGCAATTAAACAAATGGGGGGTTTCTGGAGCCAAAAATTAAAATTACATAGTAAAAAATATATTGACATTCCTTTGGAGAGATTCCCTCTTCTAAAGTGATGGAAATCACCCCAATGGGTCACTGGCATTGGAAAAAGTCTAGGGAGACCCTATAATGGACACTAGGCAGAAGCTCAAACAGTTGCCATTTTACTTATACCACAGTAATACGTCAAAACTTTTTTTGTTTAAAGTATGGAAGGGTTAAAAAAAACTGCCAGGTAATGTTTTTCTGCAATCTATAGACCATTAGAGTAGTGATGGAAGATGATAAAAGAGAAGTCTCTCAAAGTAAAGAGAATTCTCATAGACCGATTTCCCCATCGGAAGAGCTCCCCTTACCGCTTGCTCTGGGGACAACTCAATTTTACATTGTCCCCTTAAATTCTTTCCCAGTGACAGTAGTCACAGTACTATCAAATAAATCTCAGCTGGAGCACAGCATTAAACATTTGACAGTAACCCTTCCCCACTATCCAAAGTTCACCTAGAGATAGAGATAACGTACCCAACCATTGCAAGGAAAAAAGCCTCTAGTTAAAAAAGTTAGCAAGGGGAGTCACCCATAAACTGAATAGAACAACCTGATGGTTTCATAGGCAGGCCTGCACATTTTAAGACTGAAGATGGTCATGAGCCCAATGATGACTGGTTCTCTTTGCATACACAAGTTTCAGACTCAAGACACATTCATGAAAGAAGACTACAGCATGTGCCAGAGATCCATCAGCAGTTCTGAGGTCATTAGACAATCTCAAGTCAAAACAGAACTAGACCCTAACCCAGATTATGTCTTACCTGTCCAGCAGCTGCCTCCAGCTTCTCCAGGGACCTGGGATCAAACCCACCACACTTGTAGATGAGATGACCCGTGGTGGTGGACTTCCCAGAATCCACATGTCCAATGATAACAATGTTCAGATGAGTCTTTCCCTTATCAGCCATCTTCTCCTTCTCTCTTTTTCTCTGTAGCCTCACAATACACACCTCTCCTCTGTTGTGGGACTAGGAACTGTTGACCTGGATGGGTTATATAGCATCAACTGCTGATAATGGGGAAGTATGGTACCAGCTGAGGCCTCCTGGTCTGGGGGGGGAGGCTCAGGTTTTCATGATTAACAAAATTATTCAAAGTTAACCCATTCAGTACAGGGAGAAGCTAGTAGAAGAGTCTGCTGGAGATTGTACACAAATGGACAGAAGTCTGCTTGGCGACTTTGAGTGGCGTTCTGTGCGGCATTGAATTGCTTTCCCTATTGGCGCATCTGCTGGGTGAGTGATAGAAGTGAACGGACATTGCAGGGAAGGTGGTGATATGTACAGCAAGGTTAAGGCTTCTCCAAAATGCTGGAGCCGTATTCTCATTGGGAGGAATTTATCAAAACTGGAGCAGAGAGAATCTGGAGCAGTAGCCCATGGTAACCAATCGGTATCTCTCTTCAGTTTATTCAGTTAAGGCCGGTTCACACCACAAAGAGTGCGTTCCAGAGCGTTCGGCCACTGGAACGCAACCCGGACAGCTCTCTGCGTTCAGGGGTGGGAGGGGGCGTGGCGGTGCATTAAAGTCAATTGTCTGCTCCAGTTTTGATAAATTCCCCCCGTGTTCTTCCACCGACAAAGTTTGAGGGGCTCTTGCTGGTCAGCATTGAGGGGCCCTGTAATGCTGGTCAGCCAAGCTGAGATTAGCAGAGGTCGGGGACAGATGTACCACCAGAGATGAGACAGATATTCACTCTAAACAGACGCACAGTTAGGAAATGGTCAGGGGCACGTTTTATCATGTCACATTGCTATGTGTAGTGCTACAATGCAGCTGCCTTATTATCACAAATCTGTTTCAAATTGTCTCACTGCTAGTGTTTAGCTTTGTCTGGATGTACAACAGAATTGATGTCCCCACATAGTGCTGTGCAATAACGCATGTGGTACCGCACTCTTTGCTGCAGACCACTGCCACACGTGTATGTGAATTACCATTTTTCCTTAATATCACCTCAATGCACTTGCACTACAGTTCACGGCAACTCATAATGTGCGCAGTATGACCTTTGAACACTTGCTGTCCCCTCCCCCC